TGCGTGACCCAGAGCACATGGTGTACTATGGTCAGGCAGATTGTCAGGCTGACATCGATCGGTATCTGGAGTCTCTCAAATCCATCTGGCGCCATGTCAATGGAGAAAGTCCTGTCATCATCAATACTATGGGCTGGATCAGAGGTCAGCAATAAAAATATTGCACATAAAATAGGAATATTGATTTGAATGGTATATCGACTTATTAATGGATCTTGAATATTTATGCAAATATTAGGACTATCAATCAATTTAATAACATGATTTACTGATTAATAAGGCGAGACACTGCAGGTGAATAGGGTAAAAAAAATTAACTACTAATTATCACCTTACTTACCCAGTTGATTGATTACATTGATAATTGCAAACATTTTTTGTATTACAAGTTTTCTAAAATGTTATGTTTAAATATGCAAATGATGCATTATTTAATGAAATATGCGCTAATTTGGCAAATGTTTTTACTGAGGGAATTTTGGGTATCTCTTTGTCACTCCATAATTCAGAAAATACTTTGAACAGCCAGAAAACAATATATTTTCACAATTTTGGGGGAAATAAAATGTTGTATATAATCAAGCAAATTATATATGAACAAATCCCTCTGTAACAACCTTCAGAATATAGACAGGAATAAAAATGTAAAGTTTGGTGTGTGTAAGTGCTACTGAAGTGGAGATTTATGGCTCAGTGTAGGATTAAAAAAACTCATTTTGAGAAAACGGCCTTTACAAATATGTATTGTAATTGAAATCTATTGACACAAATAGATAAAGTGCTATAAAAGAAACACTTAACAGTGTCTTTTGGATGTTTTCTTTCCACTACTCTGAAAAAACACTTTATGAAAAGCCAAAAAGCCCAAAATCTCAAAATTGACAGGTGCATGAAAAAAACAGTGCTTTTGCCTGCAGTGTCTCCCCTTAAGATGTGTCAGAGGCATAATTAAATGAAGTATTTTTTTTCCCTAAAATTTGTAGCTCTATTAAGTATATTTAATATTTCGCATTTTATTTTTAACAGATAATAATAGTTTTCATTTGAGTTTCTGATACTGATGTACTAACACGTCTTTCTCTCTTTCACAGGCCATGGCTTTCAGATACTGGTCGATCTCATTCGCCTGTTTTCCGTTACGCATGTAGTGCAACTGAGTTTTGGAAACGCACCACAGTGTCAACTTCTTACCCCAGACTTCCTCAGAACTGCCCACGGCTGGCAGACACACCCTCCGACGCCGCCCACCCTGACAGAGGAGCCAGTCAGTCACCTCTCCATTCGATCTCATGTGTTTCTCAGTGTCCAATCAGAATTTGAAGGTGCTGGGACATCTGGAGAAATGTAAGCCGGCCAGCTGTACCCTTTAGATTTTAACTGTACCTATTATCAGTTGGCAATTGTTTTGGTGAACATGTATCTGGTTTGTAAAGTGTTAATATCCAAATATGTGTGATCTGAACTAAAGTCAATTCCCATCCTGCATTCCTCATAGGCAACATCAGCGCAGTAATGAGCTGCGAGACCTGGCTCTGCTCAGCTACTTCAGTAAGCTGCAGTCCCCAGAACCTGGCCCAATCCGCCCACTCCACTGCTTCATACCTTACCAGGTTTTAAATTTTTTTTATATATATATTTATATATTTTTTTGTTTAAAACATTTTGTTTTATTTTATTTAATTTTCATTTTATTTGTATTTTTTATTTCGTTTTTTATTTTTAATGTATGACTGTTATTTTATTTTTTCATAGTTTTTCATTTTATATTTATTTTCTTATTTTGAATTGTTTTATTTTATATTTCAATTTTTATTTTATTTTAGTATTTTACTTTTTATACTGATTATGTATCACTGTTATATTCTTTTTTTTTCATAATTTAATTTTTAATTTACATTTTTTTTTTTTTTTAATTATTTGATCTTATTTCATTTCATTTTATATTGTGTTTTTTAATTTTTTAATTTAGTTTTATGTTGTTTTTTTATTTCATATTTTATTTGTATTTTATTTTAGATTTTATTATATTTTATTTTTATAATGCATGACTCTTTCAAATCAATGTCTTTTTGTGCTCTATTGTTGCAGGTCCCACACTCAGCAGTGGCTATAGGGGTAACACACTGTGAGGTCGCACCCAACAACATCCTCTACGTGTCCAATGCCAGTATAGTGGGATTATGCTGTCTGAGTGAAAAGGTTGTGGGCAGAGAAGGTCCTGTTGTACTCTCCCAAACTCCTATCTGTCAATGTGTGGGCTTAGGTGTGTATTCAGGGCCTTTAATATGTAAATCTGAGATTGAATTGATTTGTCAAATTGCATAGCATATGTAGTGACATTACAAATAGTCATTATACATCATTACAAGACTATATAATCTTCCTTAAAATATAATTTACCTGCTGTTGTGTTTTTAAGGTGTTCTGAGAGGGGTAGACATGGCACGTGGTTTGTACTTTCTGGTTACTCCAGTGTCCCCCTCTGTCCTGAGGCATGTGAACTGTCTCCTGCTGGGAGAGATCACTCTGCCTAAAATATTGCTCACCAAGCAGGTACGTGAATCAGCACTATACACTACCTTTCAAAAGTGTGGGGTTAGTAATTTTTTATTTTTGTATGTTTTTTGAAAGAGGTTTTTATGCTCACCAAGGCTGCATTAATTTGAGTAAAAATAGTAATATTGTGAAATATTATTACAAGTGTCACATCACCTTCCAGAAATCATTCTAATATGCTGATTTAGTGCTCAAACATCACAGTTAAAAACTGTACTGCTTAATATTTTTATGGATATAATATTTTATATTATTAATATTTTGTCAATGTTTTTTAATTAAATAATTTCAAAAGGTAAAAATTTATTTGAAGAGAATATTTTTGTAACAATGTGAAAGTCTTTATTAATTTATTTTTTGTAATACAAAACAATGGGGTGTATTTTACAATTTACTCACTGAATATATGGTTCAAATGATATATAATCATTTGTGTGATGGCTAAATGGTTAAGTGTGGAAAGGTTATCAAACCTGATGGGTCTTTGTTGTTGTCAATTAACCTCTTTTTTTCTCTTTTTTTTCCCAGCATGGAGTTGAAGGAGATTTACCTTACGTCACCACAGACTACAGTTTTGAAGTCCAAGGGGCAGGAAAGCTTCACATCTACAAAGGACTGGCAAGGCCTGGTTTTATAAAGTCAACTAACTAAGCTCTTCTGTATAAACACTGCTTTCTGTGAATGACATTTCTATCCTTGTATTTGTTTTATACCCTAAATATTGAGGTAAAATTTGCCATTGAATGTACAAATCTACACAAGTATTTTGGCTTTTGGAACTGTATACTAGGGAGATGGAGTGTATGAGTGCATATGCTGTTTCTTTATCTCTTGTTGAATGGCTCAGTGTTTAAAGGAACACTCCACTATTTTTGAAAATAGGCTCATTTTCCAACTCCCCTAGAGTTAAACAGTTGAGTTTTACTGTTTTCGAATCCATTCAGCCGATCTCCGGGTCTGGCGGTAGCACTTTTAGCTGTAGCTTAGCATAGATCATTGAATATCATTGCGCCTGCTGCACCCATGGTACGGCAGCAAAGTTCCTTGATTACACGATATAACTACAGAAGAGTCAAGTTTTAAATAGGAAAAATATAGAAACTCTTTGGTCATTTTTGAGCGAGATGCTAATGGTCTAATCAGATTCAATGGTCTATGCTAAGCTAAGCTAAAAGTGCTACCGCCAGACCCGGAGATCGGCTGAATGGATTTGAAAACATTAAAACTCAACTGTTTAACTCTAGGTGAGTTGGAAAATTAGCCTATTTTCAAAAATAGTGGATTGTTCCTTTAAGATCCATACTGGAAACTCTGCCTCATGTTTTGATTTTCTGTACTGTTACAGTTCAACATGTTATTAAGAAAATGTCATAAAGAGTCTTTGTTTTCTTTTACCAAGTCACATTCCCAAACCAGGATAATGCAGGCTGTAAAATATTAAAGTGGGTTTCATTTTTGTCAAGAAATGAGTCTCTTTCATTGATCATCTGTTTCTTTTTTTTAATTAAATATTGAGAAGTGAATAGATCAGTACACAATTTGATAATGTATAATACAATATGGTACTGTAATGATAACAAAACATTTTAGCATTGAATTTATATTAGGTTATTTTAATGCAACTTATTACATCTTGTAACGTATTACTTATATTTTAAATGCCATCTTGTTGCCTCTTGGAATGTTTGCTGAGATCCCTTATTTCAGAACCAAAGCAAAAGATGCCTCAGTTGGGTGTCTTTATCGGGATGTGCGTTATTCACGTCTGCACTGGATCTGTGCATTAGATTTGAGCTTTTGAGTAAACTACACAAACAACATTGGGCTTTGACTTCTCAGTATCTGCCCACTATAGCTGATTTAAATCGCGTTTTTAAATTCTATGAAGAGCCAAAATGACATATTACTGCATTTACCAGCAGATGGCGCTACAGTTTTGCCATTTTCACGTTCAATGTATTTATTGGTATGATCATTTTATATACAATATTGTCAAAGCATTGTGCACACACAAGATGATAGAAAACAGAAACAATAAAATACACCTTTTTTCTTTAATTCTAATGTTTTTATGTTACTACATTGGTTTATTCTTTGATTTTTGAATCATCTGATGGTAAATCATGCAATTAAGCAAACAATATTACAAGAAAAAGGGATGCGAGAATAATAACGAAGAAAAGGTTGCTGTTTCCTATTATTGTAATATTATTACAATGTTTAATAATATTATTCCTATAACCTTTTTACGTTAACAGTTACACAAAGCACTACAGTATTGTTTAAAGTTACGTATAAAATAGACATTTAATTTTTATGTATATGGAGCTTTCTCACTAATTCTTTTTCATAGACACTGAATTCATAATTTCACTTCCACACAGTTAAAATCTCCGTTTAGTTATCTACGTATGAAATTTTGCATTTGCGTGACGTCATCGCCAGCAAGACGTAAACAAGGAAGAGAATCGAAGCGCCGAGCGAACAGAGATTCGTTTCGAGTTGATTAAAAGTAAATTCAGCTCAGTTAAAGTTTAGTTTTTTACGCGTTTATTGTATCCCGTCATGTTGAAAACGTATCATAGTCATAAACACTTTTAGCGAATTAATGGCGAATTATTGCTAGAATGGAACCCAAACACAGACAGATACTTCAGCGGCACAGGCGTGATCTAGTCACGGCATTAAATCCTGCAGACATCTGCGATGGGCTTTTGTCAAAGGGGGTTTTCACCCAGGACATGATTGATGAAATACAGGTAATATTGATGTCTTTGTTTACATATGGGAAACTGGAAACGCCACGGGATTGTGAAAGTTCACAGAGGAACAGTCCAGTTTGTTATTCAATTACTCACCCTCATTAAACCAGTATGACTTTCTTTCATTCTGTGGAACACAAATGAAGAATGACAGTCACGGTTGCCATTCACTTTGATTGTATGGAAACATGATGCGCTGAAAGTGAATGGAAACTCAGACTGTCAGTTTCTAACAATCTGTTTAACATCTCAAACTATCATGCTTCATACTGGATGTTCACAGTTTACTTGTTAATACTGTGCATAGTTTAGTTTACAATTATGAAGGTAAGATGATATGACCATTCATGTGTGAGTGGTTCCCTTATTGCAAACCTGCAAATGTGAAACACCGTTGTTCTCCTAACAGAGCAAGATAACAAGACGTGGCCAAGCCAGGCAACTGGTGATAAGCTTAGAGATGAGAGGGAGTCAGGTTTTCCCAGCCTTCCTGGAGTGTCTGCGTGAAACCAGCCAACATGACCTCGCAGAGCTCCTTCAGTGTGGAGATGGTGCGTGTCTGCCCACTTCTGTGCCAGAACAGCCTTCACTGATCCCTCTGCCAGTCGGTAAGTGTGTTACTTCCATTAAAAACACAATATTTACTTGGATATATTTACTTGGGATGTTCCCATAATACAGTGGAACATAAAACACCTTCACCTACCCATGATCCTCTTAACTGACATTTTGCTATGATTTTTTCCCTGAGGTATGTTACATGATACATAGAGATATTTTATCTGATTTTATGATTCAATGCAGAGAATCCAAAATATACTGAAAAACCAGACAGATTTGATTTTACTCCACCACGGTTAGTACCACTGAGACCAGAAAGCCTGCCTGTGCCCAAGCCTCTTAGCCCATGTGAGTCACTGTCATGTTTTAATTCTCTATAAAGTGTTTTCATCTGTTAAATGCTACCCATTAATATGTAAAGGGTAATTTGGTAAGAAAGCATGAATAACCTTTGGATTTATGCATTTACACAGCTTCTGAAACTCAAGGGGTGAGACCAACCAGGACAAGACGTGACAGTATACAGGTAACTGTTATCACTCTCACAAGCAATCTTGAATGTTTTAAAAGACCGTCATTCTTATTCACTGATAATTGAGTAAAAGTGTATTTTGATATGTATTTATATAAAAAATGAAAATAAAAGAATGCAAATATGTGCATATATAAGCATATTTTAATATATAACACTACTGTTCAAAGGTTTTGGGGTCAGTAAGATTTGAGATGGCTGCTAAAAATTCACCTTTGCCATCACAGGAAGTAATTATATTTCAAAATATAGTAGATAACAGTTCTGTCATGGCAACTCAGAAAGATTAGCATGGTAATATTTATGGCAGTGTTAATGTATTTGGTCTTGGCGTAATAGATCTGCTACACTGTTGCTGTGGCTGCGGCAGAGCGAGTACCGAGACTTGCTACTGCCAATACATCCACAGACATGCTGCTGTGAGCATGTAAGACTTACTGTTGCTGCGCATATAACAGACATGAAATGACCTTGTAGCACATCTACAGGTGGAGCTGGGGAAGGTGGAGGTTTCTGAAATTCGCAGCAAATTGCTACAGCAAACACTGGCCAAGTATTTGAATGTTGAGCAGCAAGCTCATTGTCTGCGTATGCAACAAAAACCAATCAGCTGCGCAATGTGAATAATGATGTCATTATATTGCATTAGGACCTATCAGCTTGTGCCATCTAAAGTTTCATGACAGAACTTTGTATTTATTTTAAATTGTAATAAATTGCTGTATTTATTTGATCAAATACATGCCATTTTGGTGAGCATAAGAGACTTATTTTAAAACAAACAAAAAAAATCTTAATTGCGCCATTGTACCTAACCACTCACTTACTATTTTTTGTGCAGTGCTATAAGATGGATGCCAGTCCATGTGGGATCTGCCTGATTATAAACAATGTAGATTTTGACCCAGCCTCTGATCTAAAAGATCGAAAGGGGTCCAACATTGACTGCGACAAGCTGGAGAAAAGATTTAAGGCTCTCAACTTTGAGGTTATTGTAAAAAGGAACTTGAAATACAAAGTAAGCACAGTACTTCCTCTTCTTCTCACTGTAAACAAAGCTGTAAGATAAAAGTCTGTCTGTCTTTAATACATTTTAAAAATGAATAAGAACATTTCTCCCCTCTATAGCGCATAAGACAAGAGATGGCATTTATAGCAAAGAGGGATCATTCCGCGTATGACTGCTGTGTGGTGATCATCCTTTCACATGGTACTGAGGTAAAACCAGTCACATATTTTTCTTCAAAAAAAGAGGATATATGTTATATTTGCTTTTCACATTTATGAAGACTATTAGTTTTCAACAAAGAAGTACAACCTGCAAAGAAGTTTTATTTGCTTCCTCATTTTGTAGAACACCATTAAGCTATCCAATTACAAAAGCATTAGAGCAATTTTCTCATTCTGCTTTGGTGCTCGACACTTCTCTAATGTTTAGGCAAACAACAATTGTTTTCCTGGAGCAGTTCATGGTGTTGATGGACCATCTGTCCCAGTTCAGTTAATCACAAACTACCTCAACGGCCAGAACTGTCCTTCTCTGCAGGGCAAGCCCAAGCTGTTCCTCATCCAGGCCTGTGGAGGAGGTGGGCATCTCAGAAATCTTTCACAAATCTCGTAGCCAAAAGGTGGTGGTCAAATTTACCGTTGTTCAGCAAATTTTCATGTTCAAAATCCATGCCGTTCACGCTGCTGAAAGTGACGTTTTGATGAATATATAAATATGTGAAAAGATATATAAATGTATAAAAAGCTGAATCACTGTCTGGCTTAAGCGAACGCCAACCTAACCCTAACCCTAATCTCATGATTTTTCATAAGTATTACAGCTCATCATGAAGAGTTTTCCCACTCAGATTTCACAACTGGTTCAAGTTGAATTTGCAGTGTTGACCACACCTAAAAATAATCAAAAATGTTTGAGGTTGTGCCTCAGTTTTTCAGATTATGATTTTTTTTTTATTACTTTTTTCTTCTCACCTGTAGGTGAGAAGGACACAGGTTTTGAGGTTTCTCCAGATGAGGTGGAGCCCTCTTTGGGTGGGATAGATGACCAGATGGATGCTATTCCCATATCCTCCAGCAGTGACTCTCTCAGCACGTCTGATGAATTTGATGCTCGGGCCACTTTGCCCACACCCAGCGACATCCTGGTGTCCTACTCAACCTTTCCAGGTCTGTGTTTTTGGTCATTACGGGAATTGCCTGTTGTACCTTAAATAATTGTTTGGTTGAAAAATATTTCAGAAAGACAAACCTTTTGATTGCTAAACACAAATAGACAATTCATGCTAATGCATTTGCAGGCTATGTCTCCTGGAGGGACACGCAGGCCGGATCCTGGTATGTGGAGAATCTTGATCGTGTGCTTGAGGAGAATGCTGCCACAGATGATCTGGGGACCATACTGATGATGGTACATCTTTGTCTCATAAAGCTTCTTAAAACAACTGATAGATACAATAAATATGTCCTTAAAAATGGAAAAAATAAACCAAATCGAACCAAATTCCATAATAATGCTACCAATTAGGGTAGAGCAGTATGATGGTACATACTGTAGCATATCAAGCAGTAGATATTCTGCTATCTTATACATTCTGCTAGCTTAATAATTTTGAAAAAAAGATCTGACACCAAGCAAAAACTATAGTCTGCTCCTCAAAATGCATCACATACAAACTCTTCCAGTTGAAGTACTATATTTTCACTGGTGCCAGACATAAAATTAATTCATACTTTTAGGTTGCGCTTACACTGAAACAAAAAATCAGATTTTTTTTGTGACACAGATTGGCTATTGTACACGTCTAAGCATAAAAATCCACAGGAGATCTGATTTTTTTTTTTTTTGCATCCGTTCTGAGCCGCTTCTAAATATGGTTTGGTTCAAAATCAGATACATATCTGATATCTGGACATTTGACCTACATCTAAACACGAAAATATGATTCCTATTGGAATTCCAAGCCATCACAAGGCGAGGGAGACATATTTGCCCACTATAACTTTTCTTAATGTTGCATTATGAAGCAGATGTTGCCTGTATGTGATGTATGCGCGCAAAAACTCAGCTTCTTTTATTGAGATGCAAACTTTATATATATATATATTTATAGGTAAGAGATTACGCACACACAGAAACAAACTTGTTTTGAGCCGCTGCCCCCTAATTTTATAAATAAAATATCTTCACTACTAATAGTTACATTAATATTTTTCAGCATGATGATAATTTAGCTGTTTTTATGTAATTAAACTCACAGCTTTACTATAGAGAGGTGGCATAGGTGCAGGTCATTTACACGCATAATCTCTTTTTGCCAATTTTTTTCAAACAAATATTATTTTATCACACAGCAGAATTCTAGATCCAACGACCTGTAGTTAAAATAACTTTTAATCCGTTCAGTGAAATTTTGCGCTGTAAACATCAATGACAGCTTTAACTGCTGGCTGGCAAGTGATCATTTACGTGCAGTAAAGTCAAAGAACCATGTAAATTATATAAATAATTTTTATATACAGCTGTTCAAAACCCAAGGGTCAACTGTGTTGCTGAATGAGATCACCATTGGAATCATTCTAGTTTAGGTAGGGATTCATATACAGTAAATGTACAGTAAGTATCAGATATGAGTCGTGACTTAAGTGAGTGTAAATAGGTGGGACAAAAAGTTGGATATGGTAAAAAGATCGGATTTGTGCATTAATCCCTGCGGTGTAAACGCAGCCTTAGGTTTGTGTCCAAACAAAAAAAAATTATTAAAGCTACGCATATTTCAAGTTAGATTAGTTAGTTAATCAAAAACAGACACTATTCATGCCAATGTAATATGTATATATTTTTTTGGTTTGACTTTCAAGCACAGATAATTATATTTATAAATTGTATATATTTTAATATTTTTGTATTAAAATAAATTGTTTGTATTAAATATCTATTTTCTTTAGGTAAACCATGCGGTCTCCCAAATATCTGCCAAAGGCCTGTATAAACAAATGCCTGGATCTTTCAACTTCCTCCGAAAACTTCTCTACTTTCAGTCTTCACAGTCATGATCACTTGAAGATTTGTTTGTTTGTTTTGCTGCAGTGGGAACACTACCATGTACTTGATATAATGTGATTAAGACATATTTGTCGTTTTTTATGTCATAAACTGAACCATGTGATCAGAACGTTTGACAAGAGTTTTTGTTTTTAACATAATCCTATTATTAGAATTCTAAATTTGCAAGCTGAAGGTAAACTTCACAAATATAAACCACTAAGAACTTGTAACTTATTATTTTTATAAGTGCAATTTGATTCTTTTTTTAATGTTGTATAGTGCACAGCAGTAGGAGGACAATAGACTTTTAATGCACTTGTGGTTCAGTTGTGGTATTTGACTGTGGTTAACTGTCACACTGTGTTCTTAAGAAATATCCAGTTGCATACTGTGTATCTTTTCTAGTGAATAAAAGACAAACAAAAATATAAAATGAAAATTATAGTTCCAATAATGAGTCTAATACAGTGGCAAACAGACTCGTTTAGATTTATCATGGGAAACAGATAAGACACTCAGGAGAGGAAGGAAATGAATAGGTCCTCACACACTAACACCAAGAAAACATATAAGCAAAAGAACTGTTCGTGAGAATGTGAAAGTGAAGCTAGGCCTAACATGCTTAATAGTAAAGTGAATTTCGACAGAGTTATTTACTAACTTGGTAATAGGTAGGCGCCATTTCTGTTTTTATTTCCTTGTTTTGTGCTTCATACCTTAGGATGGATTAAATAAATAGGAACAATGCATCTGCATAAGCGAACTAAAATGACATGTGATGCAATCTGACCCATACAAGCTCCTGTACGAGGAAAACAGAAAGGTCATAATGCTTATTATAGGGTCAAGGCACTTTAGATGCATCAGAATCAAAGCGTTTTCCACTACTTATGTTTGTCATAGCAACCTTGTTATTGTTGGCCTGTGTGGGAAGATCTTCAGTGGAAGCCGCCACTTACTTTCAGAATGACACAGGAGACCAACAGCCATTACTGAGGTGTGTAACCCCAAATAAAGCCTGTCAGATATTTGAAAAGATAGTGTTTGTGAAAGTGAGAAAGCACAAGTGAGGAAGGAGGGGCCAGTAATGTGAGGTGGGTTTTACTCGGCATTCAGTACACTTACTCTCAGCACACAGTGACCGAGTGAGAAAGGAGGAGAACACTTGTCTTTCTCGGTATCTCACCGTGCTTATGTGCGAGGGAAAGACAGTTTCTCAGGGCTTTGGTTTGGACAAGCGATAGTAAAGGAGTGTGGAAGTTGTTTATGAGGATTTATTAAGAATGCCAGTGTGAACATCTGCAGGAAATACTAAGGTAAGTGTTGTGGTTTTACGTACAAATGCAAAAATAGCATGATTTTGTTGATTAATTGTGTCAAATTTTTGCTGCTTTTGTAGTTGTCAATTTGCACGTGTTTTGTCATTTTTTTCATACGTTACTTTTGGTTAATACAAAAAATATAATTTATAATATATATTAAACATATTTTTTTCACACATATTGCTAAAGTAACTCCTCCGAAAAAAAATATTCTGAAAAACGGAGTTTTAACCTAAGCAAAGAGCAGCATAAGTAGAAAGAGAAAAATCATATGCCAAGAAAATGTATTAAAATGTGCTTGTTGTTGGGAAACAGGCACGTTTAATTTCTGAATATGTCTGTTAACATTTGAAGATCTGAAAGCTATTATTTCAGTGAGCATTTGGTTATTTTCATGGGATGTGAATGGGGAAGTTTCTGTGAAGAATGATAGAAGGATAGAGTCTGAGGGGGTGGCCTGTTGTCATGACTCATGGTTGAGAGTGTGCTGCTGCTGTCTGATTTGCTCTTAACACAGGAAGTCTGCTACCTTCCCCTTTTTTGACACCCTAGATGTGCAATTTGTTTACTAAAATTGAACAGTTCACTGTACATCCACCGTACTGTAGGTCATAGCATGACGAATGACCGCTGTCACATGTTGAATAAGGACACTCCTACAATGAGCAGATGAATGAGTGCAGAAGTTGTTTTGGAGAATATATATGCTTATTAATTCTCAATTTTTCTTTTTCTTTTGAATCTGCTTATATTATACAAGACATTTTATATGATGTTAACTGCTGAGAGTGTTTATAGACTTGCTGCTTGATTGCCTCAGTACTTGTGGTATTGTACAAGTAGGTGTAAAAATCAAGCTGAGTGATTGTTATAGTCCAAATGAACTTAAAGCCAAAGAAATTTGAATATAGTTTTGATCTTGTGATTGATCTTGGCACTAGTCCGCATTGAAAGTCAATGTACATGTTTCTCATTTCTGTGAGTCATATAGATTGGTCAAAATGGGTCAAAATATACAATTAAAAGCATGAAGTGCCAATGAAAATCTTTTTCAAGTACATTCTTTAACCTTCTACATGGCTTCTGTTCATTCACCTAGCTGGAGCTACAATGTCATCCCATGTCAAACTGTGGAGGGACAGAGTGGGGACGGCAGACTATGATACACAGTTTAAAGGTAACGGACGTTCTAATATTGAATACCCTTTAAGATTTCTGAGCAATGGAAACCCAAAATGATTCCTTTCCAATGCTATTAAATTTGCTGATCAGTTTCTGCTGCAAGTTTTGTATGTACTTCCGAAATCACAGATAACCAATTTACTAATCTTTGTTAAAGTTAGTTATTAATATAACATACTTGGTTCATGTTAGCTCAGGTACATTAAATAATATTAACAGATATCATACAACATGTAAATGTTGTTGAATGTTGAAATTAACATTAGGATTAATTGATGCTTTAGAAGTATTTGTCATTGTTAGCTTATGTTTATCTATTGCCATCCGTCTTGTTAAACTTTGTGAAGCCAACATGTTCCAGTTAATTGTTATTGGACACCTGTCAAATGAAACAGATATACAGAGTGGAACTATAGAAATGTAATTGCACTGTCTCTCTTTCTCTCCTCTAGAGGTGCGTTTGCAGCTGGCCGAGCAGTTGAGGATATTTGACGGTCAGGTGGAGCAGAAGACTCAGGTGTTCCAAGATCTGATCGATTATTTGCGCAGACGAGGCGAGATCGAGGGGGAGTACGCCCGCTCACTGGACAAACTGTGTGACAGGTTCTCCTCCAGAACCAGGAAGTGAGGATATGCAAAGAAAAAAAAAAACAACATTAATGCATGAAAAACAGTTCTTAA